ACATTCATGCAAATGTTTACCTCTTACACTCTTTAAAACTTTATCAGTGAGCAATAGTGAGAAATAATATCTTTTATTTTTTTTTTCTATTAAATGCAAGTAATTAAAAACTCTAGAAAAATAAGTAAAAGTTGAATGAAATGACGTAAGAAAAAACGTCGGAATCTTCCTTAAGGGATATACAAAAATAGACCTATGCAGAAAATTTTCCCAAATATTGCAAATTAGAGTACAAAGTTATATGAGGAGTACAAATAAGTATTTGTGGAAATACATACGCAATTTTTTTTTTTTGCGACTTTAAGACTTTTCATTTGTTTTTCATGTTTTCGTGGCCTTTGGTCATTTTCTTACAAATTGTCTCTCATTACATTTCTTTATACCTGTAATAAATGTGTACTTTTGTTGATTTTTTACATGCTAATATTATTAAGTAGAGTAAAGATTGTTTATTAAAAAATATGAATACAAATAAGTAAAACGTCCTTAAGTTCGACAGGGCCGACCTTTTTATGCTCACCGCCGTGATGTGAACAGTCAAATTCTTAAATTGATCGGTATTTTTATATGGGTTTTATGCCATGGTAAATAACTACCAAGAGAAATATAAAAAAATACAGGCTATTGGAAATTTGGGCTAGGACCTTGTACATACCGTAATCCTCAAATTGTCAAAAATTTGGTGTACAGTTTTGGGGGGTATATACCATATCGCGGACAGATAACGATAATTTTTTTGTAAAAAAAGGATTGGACACCCAATGAAAACCAAAACCCCCCCCCCCTGGCCGCCCCCCTGCGTACATCCCTGCCTCATAAATACCTAAAATACCAAACTACAGACAATTCGGCTGAAAATCATGTCCAAAATCCTAAATATAAAATGTTGACTTAAAGCCTTTACGTGATGTTAAGTTAGTGACATGTGATAAATTGGACTTAGCGCCTTTACTCATTAATACAAAACAACAATAACAAAAGAGATAAATATATTTATTTAAATATATATATATATAAGCTATATCGAAATCTAAACCGATTTCATCGAAACTTGTCACAAATTAAGTTATACTAATTTCAGTATGTTTTGTGCATATCGGCCACATTTTGAGATCTTGGTGCATCATTTACTTAAAATCGGACGAACATATACAGTGGTGGCCACAGAATTAAAACATTTACTGTGGTAAACATTTTTTGGTCAGCCCTCGATTCGTTTGAAGTATTTTTGAAATTTTTTTAATTCAGAACACTTCGATATACTGCACTCAAGAGATTTAGTGTGAAAATGGAAAATTATTTCATGCAATTTTTCCATAAATAACGGTTTTTATGAAAATACATCGACTTTGAAGTGGCCATATAATTAAAACATTGTGTGATTTTTTACTAGACTGCATTTTTTGAAAATATTTTTTAAAAAAGCTCTATAATTTAGTTAAATTATGTAAACTAAGCACCGTTAAAATCATTTACTGATAAAATTTTTCGAAAAAATCTGTAAAATCTATCAAAAATGCCAAAAATGTGTTCAGTACACCTTACATTCAGAAAATAACCCTTATTATAGAAAATAAAGGTCCGAATGCACCAGAAATTTATAGAATTAGTAGAAAACAATAAATAATTCTCAAAATAAATAAATATTTGAAATAAAAACTCAAAAAATTGGAATTAACCTAAAAGAACGATTAAATTTCGATAGCCTTTATTGAAGAAGGCCGGAATATTTTTGCAGTATGTGAGGAAATATCGATTGATATTGGCATTTATTATATGAAATCGATTGTTCGAGTAGTACACAATATATTTGATCAAAAAATATACCAGTCACAACAGAAAGAACAGAGATCAACACCTAGGTTGACGAGTAAAAGTTTCTGCCACACAGCAGCATTTTTGATGCTCAACTCAAGACTTTAAATATTTGTCAAATTGTAAAATTTGTCTTTCATTTAGGCTAAAATAGATTAAATGGGCATTATTCTATTCAAAAAATATTATTTTGGAAAAATATTGTCATGTTCAATAGATTTTAAGGGTCAAGAGTCAACCATCAAACATGATGCTGTGTACCAGAAACGTTTTCTCGTCAACATAGGTGTTGATCTCTGTTCGTTCTGTTGTGACTGATAATTTTTTTGATGAAATATATTCTGTACTACTCGAACAACCGATTTGATATAATAAATGCCAATATCAATCGATATTTCCTCACATACTGCAAAAATATTCCGGCCTTCTTCAATAAAGGCTATCGAAGTTGAATCGTTCCTTTAAGTTAATTCCCATTTTTTTGAGTTATTATTTCAAATATTTATTTATTTTGAGAATTATTTATTGTTTTCTACTAATTCTAGCAATTTCTGGTGCATTCGGACCTTTATTTTCTATAATAAGGGTTATTTTCTGAATGTAAGGTGTACTGAACACATTTTTGGCATTTTTGATAGATTTTACAGATTTTTTCGAAAAATTTTATCAGTAAATGATTTTAACGGTGCTTAGTTTACATAATTTAACTAAATTATAGAGCTTTTTTAAAAAAATATTTTCAAAAAATGCAGTCAAGTAAAAAATCACACAATGTTTTAATTATATGGCCACTTCAAAGTCGATGTATTTTCATAAAAACCGTTATTTATGGAAAAATTGCATGAAATAATTTTCCATTTTCACACTAAATCTCTTGGGTGCAGTATATCGAAGTGTTCTGAATTAAAAAATTTTCAAAAATACTTCAAACGAATCGAGGGCTGACCAAAAAATGTTTACCACAGTAAATGTTTTAATTCTGTGGCCACCACTGTATATGGGGGCTATATCTAGATCTGAACCGATTTTCAGGAAACTTAACACACATCATTCTAGACCTAATTCAGTACGCTATGCCAAATTTCGTGCAAATCGAAAGATATATAGGGAGTTTGGCACACCATTTACATAAAATCGGACGAAAAGATATATGGGAGCTATATCTGAATCTGAACCGATTTTCACGAAACTTAATACACATCATTCTAGACCGATTTTTCCCAATTTGAATAAATACTAAAAAGGAACCATGTGTCTATCTAGTTTCCTTTTGCCTGTTTTAAAAAATTGGCTTTACATATAAGGGGGCCAATATTGATTACTTCTCGGGAGGATATACTTAAATGTGGACTGAAAAAGGCCATTTTGGATCGTAACGGTTTAGTTTTGTATCTCGACACCCCCGAAGGTAGTAATATTACAACAGAAGTACATACGGACTAACTAATAATGAGTCTTAACATAATATAGGTTATAAACTGACAATTTGTAGTACTGAATATCCCCCACACTGTGGGTTATCTAATTCGAACCCAAATTAAAACGAATTTTATATGTTTAAAAGTGCGTTTAAAAACATCTAAATATTGAAAAAAGAGAAGTAGCGCTATATAGTGGATACATTACTAGATATTCATAAATGTTGCCCTTATTAAGAATATATATACTTTATATGGGCGGAAATTAATATTTCGATGAGTTACAAACGAAAAAAAAAACATAACATACCCTTCATAATTCTGTGGATTGTATAAAAACCATAATATATCTTCATTTAATTCGGGTAATTCGAATACTACTGTATAATTCGACACACACATTGTGTAAAACATGTTCGTGTACGAACTGGTCGCATTTGTTCAAACTTTGTGTGTTACAACATACATTCATACCGAAGTAAACATACACAATGAATACCAGTTCGTCGAGTCTGAAACGTGGATTGTATGAATCAAACGAATATACAACAAATTCGAAACTCTCATACCTGAAGCAATTCATGTTTGTTGTACCCTCACTCATTGCACTTCATTTCAAACAAATTTATAGAATAGAAGCCATTACTTTGTGTGAGTGACTCATGGGTGGTGTTTTTGTGCATTCATGCAGATGTCTACTACAAAGGTAATTTTATTCATAAGTATCCATTCATTCATATTCATTCAGTATCCCAGCCCTATCCGTTTAGTACTTTTCTTACCCATAAGTACGAATTTCCTAAACTACACTCCAACGATCATTTTAATTCCCAATTTCAAGGCTCCTGCTCTATCTATTCAGCTATATTCAACTTGAACCAAATTTAGTACAATTTAGTACTTTTCGTACACATAAGTACGATTTTTTACAGCTAACAAAAGCCGGTACTCCAATAGTAATCCAAATTCCTATTTTCGAAACTCCATCTCAATACGCCCAACTAAATGCAAATAGTACCATATAGTACTCATACACATAATTACGAATTTCTAAAACCATTTTAATACATCAAAAATATATACAATTTGTACTAAATTTAGTAAAGTTGAATACTTTTCGTACCCTTATTGGTCGAAAATCCTTTTGTACAACTTTCTAACATTCCATCAGTGACACACATTCCAAATATCAGAATTCTAGCTGTTCACGTTTGCCCAATACAAAGGGTACCATATTTAGTACAATTCAGTACTTTTCCATATTAAAGTAAGTACCATATTTAGTTCATTTCAGTACTTTTCGTATACTTCTAGTTCGAATTTTCTAAAATCCAGACTTACACCAAAAACAACCCACACTCAAAATTTCTAGCGCCGTTTCGTCTTGGCGATGATTTGTCAGACATTCATTCACTTATCACTAAGCTCTTTTATATACAATATTTAGATATTTTGATCTAAACATTACCTACATTAAAAAAACACCATTATTTACATAAAATACTTCACTACATAAATATTTCCAACAGGGTGTGTGTTGGGTTATCATTTCGCTGTGATTGGCCACCAATGCACAAAACATCTGTCAGTTTACAAAACACTCAGAGAGCGAGAGAAACTAAGAGCTGTCAAACTTCTTTCACGTGTATTTTAAACGGAAAAACATTTAACTACAAAACTATTTTGTTCAATAGGCAAATTATTAAATAAAAATTGTTTTGATTCCAACACAGTTCCTATAGAAATATTTTGCATTAAAAGTGGAATATGTCTTCATCGTTTTTCCTTAAAAAAGAACCCAAAAACAATAAGAAACGGAAGGTAAGTTGTTGACCACACAACATCAATGCAACAATTTGGATTTGTTTAATGTGGATGGGTTTTTTTTCTTTACAGTTCCAAGGAGGTGCTGGCGCCAAAGGAAAAGGCAAAGATAAAACAACAAATGAAACACCTGCCAAGAAAAGACCACAAAAAGATGATGAAGAAATTGCCAGTGATAGTGAATTTGAAAGCGGTCTAGATGGCGAGGGTGCACCAAATTTGGTTTTCTCTTCAGATGAGGCCGAGGAAGAGACACCACAAGACAAACGTTTACGACTGGCCAAACAATATCTCGAAGAAATAGAAAAGCAGGAAGCGGATAAAGCAGAAGATCGTGAATTACATGATCATGTTGCCCATCGACTGCAAACAGAATATTTAGATAGTGTTGGAAAATTAAGAAAAAATATTGCAGGCTCTATAGAGGGCTATGATGCAGAGAATATTGTAAAATTGAAACATAAGAAGCAACATTTACCCTTATGCTCGTTGGCCTTATCACCCGATGGTGAATATTTATTTTCCGGTGCAAAAACACAATTTGTTTTAAAATGGAATCTGAAGACACTACGTGTTGAGGGTTCTTTCAATGTCCAGCCATATAATGAAGACAAAAATACAGATATTAAACGGCGATCACATGTTATAGCGCTATGTATCTCATCGGATTTTCGTTATTTAGCTTTAGCCGATGGTGGCCATACAATACAGATATGGTGTCCCAAAGAATTGAAACATTTAAAAACGTTCCATGGTCATCGAGATGTGGTTACCTCATTGGTATTTCGTCGAGATACACATGAATTGTATTCAGCTTCCAAGGATAGATCAGTGAAAATATGGTCATTGGATGAAATGGCCTATGTGGAGAGTTTGTAAGTAGAAACTTGGAGTCTGGAAAAAATGTGTTTGTGTAGATCCAAGGCAGCAAAGGGCAAGCTGATTGTGCCTTTTTAAAATAAATTTAAATTGAATGGTAGTTATATCCGAATTTTATAAGATCAATGGAAATCGATACAAAACTGGCATTTAAATGGCAATTGGTTGGTAATAAAATATGTTATAATATCAATACCTGATGTGTCCTCTATATAAAAATATTATTTTCTATCTCTTGCCTTGTGGACCTACCCAGACCCTATAGAATATTTTAATACTAAATCTCTTTACTCTAAAATTTTTAGATTTGGTCACCAGGCACCAGTAACTGGCATTGATGCTTTATCCCGCGAACGTGCTGTCACCTCCGGTTCTGATTGTACTTTGAGAATTTGGAAAATTACCGAAGAGTCTCAATTAATCTACAATGGGCATCGAGACAGCATTGAAGCTGTTAAATTTTTGAATGATGAAAATTTCATATCATGCGGAACTGATGGGTAAGTAAAAATAAAAAGAAGAAACAGATAAGTTCGGGCCCGCAAAACTATTTCCATATCACGGCACCGCTCATTGTCGATATTTTAATGGTATCAGGATTATGTTTTGACATAGCTGTCATTTTTATTTATTTTTTTTCTAATTTTTAATTAATAATTCTAACCTTATTTAATTTACGAGAAGACATTCGATGTTTTCAAACATAAAATTTATCTTCCCAGAAAATTTTCAATGTAGGTCAATGTTTTGTCATAGCCCCTATAGATATTTCTACATAGACGAGCTGAAGGCAGCCTCTATAGACGAGCTGAAGGCAGTCTCTATAGACGAGTTGAAGGCAATCCCTATAGACGAGCTGAAGGCAGTCTTTATAGACGAGCTGAAGGGAGTCTCTATAGACAAGCTGAAGGGAGTCTTTATAGACGAGCTCAAGGGAGTCTTTATAGACGAGCTCAAGGGAGTCTTTATAGACGAGCTCAAGGGAGTCTCTACTTGATCATTCCATCAAATTCGCGGCCTTCCCCTTCTGCGTGTACCATCAGTTGGCTCGCTTTTATATGCCTTTTGTGCTGGGGCATCCTCATCAATTCTCACAAAATGACCTAGTCACATAGTCGCTGCAGCTCGATACGCATGATTATGTCTATGCCCGAGAATAGATGGTACAGCTCATGGTTCATTCTACGGCGATATTCACCTTCAACACAGATTGGCTCATAGATCTTTCGGAGAAATTTTCTCTTAAACACTCCAAGAGCTGCATCATCTGCTTGCGCAAGTACCCAAACTTCAGATCTATATAGCAGCACTGGTAGTATCAGAGTCCAAACATACACTGGTTTATTAGACCATAGATCATCTGTTGACCAACACTACACTCCTCCGAATTCCAAAACTGATGCCATTAGTTTTATTTATTGCGGTACTGAAGTATATAAAATTGTTCACTACATTAAAGCTGTAGTTTTCAAGTTCCACGGTTGGTCGGAGTCTACTGGACGTCTTGCGCGTTGATATCATCTTGGTCTTCTCGCCATTTACTGCCAGTCCGCCTTTAGCCGACTCCTTCTCAATTCGTTCAAAGGTTGCTGTTAGCGCTCGCAATATTTGACCCATTATGTCGGCATTTGCATCTCGTATGAACGTTTCCAGCAGGATGTAAAAAAGCTCACACGATAAACTGCCACCTTGTCTGAATCCTCGTTCGGTATTGAAAGGCTCGACTTTAACTACAGACCTTGTGCCAGTAAGTGTTATCCTGCAAATCTGTATTAAATTTGAAGGAATGCCGAACCCAAACATACCTTCAAACTCCTCTGAGCTGATTGGGAAGTCGAATGCGGCTTTGTAGGCGATGAAAAGGTGGAATGTGTCGATGTATTTTTCGTGGGTGTTTTCCAGGATTTGGCCCAGTGTTAAAATCTGGTCAATGGTGGATTTGCCAGGCCTGAATTGGTATGGTATTCCTCTAGCCAAATTGCACTAATCAGTTGGTGCAGGTTCGGCTGGTAACCCATCGGCAGCTGCTGCTTTATTATTCTTCAGCCGATTGATTTCTATTCTGACCTCATCTCAGCTAGGTGGTATACACATTATACCGTCATCACTTATTGATTCTGGGATATCATCTTCTTCGCCACTATTTGATATCAGAAACTTTGCAAAATGCTCCATCCAGATCCTCATCACGCTGTCTGTATCTGTCACAGGTTTCCTTCTTCATCTCTACAGTTCGGTGTTTTACTCGTTGCAAAATTTCCGGACTTCATAAGCTAGACATCAAAAATATCCTTACTAAATTACGCTTCTAAAGCATTGAAGGCTGTCATGAGAATATTCGAAAAGGGGTCTGAAAAAAAGTAGTATTAAAATGTCCACGTCTATAGCTTTGAAGACTTGGAAGACAATCTTAGAAACGTCTACATACAGGCTTCAAAAATACTTATAAACATTTCAGAATTAAAATTTTAATATCATTATTCTAGGTATAAGTTTCTCGAGTAGTATAAGTTATGTTGTTTTGTGTAACATAAATAGCCTATTTGGCTTTGTTACTATGCTTAATAAATTAAATTTAATTTATTGGACTTGCCTATTTTTAATCACAATTCCCCTATTATACAGTTCCCTTGGTCTCTGGAATGCACTGAAAAAGAAACCACTACATACCTCAACGCTTGTACATGGTGTACAGGCAAATGGTGAAGCCAATTGGATTACAGCCATAACATGTTTGGTAAACACCGATTTGGTGGCATCTGGTAAGTTCAAAAAAGGAAAACTCTCAATATAATACAATTATTAATCCATTATTTCATCTCTTCCCTCCAGGTTCCTGTGATGGTTACATACGCCTCTGGCAGTGCGTGGAAAATTATCGTAAACTCAAACCTCTGCTAGAAATACCCGTCAATGGATTTATAAATAGTTTAACATTTAATGCGGACGGTACAAAACTATATGCCGCTGTCGGACAAGAACATCGTTGGGGTCGTTGGTGGCGTCTCGCCGATGCTAAAAATCACATTGTAGTTATTGACTTGTTAAGAGCAACAACGGTCGATGAATCGGCGGCACCAAGTAAAAAAACTAAATGATAATTAGTTATTTATTTAGGATTTCTTTTTTTAATATAGTAATTTTTTTCTAAGTTGTTTTTATGCAGAAAAACGTAATTTGAAAAATGCTTGTAGCATTGAAGTTATTAAAAGTCGAAAAACAATATGTTTTATATATAGAAAATGAAAAGAATAAAATTATTTTTTTGTATTATAAGCAGAAACATTAATGAGTGGATTTTAATGGTTTACAATAAATATTAGGTTGCGGAAAAAGAAATCCATTATTTTTTCGGTAGATTATTATCCATTATTTTTTCGGTAGATGTACTTATAGATTTCTCTTAAAAAATCGATCAAACAATTTCAGATTCGCAGTACAAAAATTATTTTGCTGTTTTTTGTTTGGTGCATTCAGTTGTGAGTTACAGGGTGTTAAAAATGGAAGTGAACAAAGAGAAAATTCGGTACATTTTACAGTTGTTCTTTGACAAAGCCGAAAATGGAAGCCAAGCGGCTAAAATTGTGATTTGTGTTTATACCAATACTGCAACAGCCAATTATGTGCAATTTTGGTTTCGTAGATTCCGTTCAGGAATTTTTGATGTTAAAGATGCAGTTCGCAATTTCAGTTGCTTTAGTTTTGGCCACCAGTGTATATGGTATATAGCGTTTCCGCTACAGTGGGCTATACCACCAAAACGACTGACACCTCAGAATATTGTGACGATCTAGTGCCAAATTAACCAGTTTGGCCTGAAGTCGGACAATATTATGTGGGACCTATATTTAAATAGAAAAAAATTCTAAACCGGATACATGTCATTCTATGCCAAAATCAAGGACTATGGCTGTGATTTCGTGTAGATGGGACAGACGTAATGTGATTATGGTATCGGTTAGGAGCAGTAGAACGAATTTATATTTATTTGTGGTTCTAATTTGCTCTCAAAAGTAAGTATGGACCGATGGTATTTTTTTCTGCTGGTACCACAATGTCGTTGAGGGTAAATAATTAATTCTATGGGCTGAAGTTGGTTATAAATAATTCAGACTTTCAAAGATTTTGCTGATATATGAAATATTTATTAAAAATATAAACTTACCTTAATTTATCCAGACACCCGGTATGTGGTTTTCCAGTACAATACTCGACAATATTTAGTTTTTCTTTCCACAGCAAGTTTTTTGACTATTTAAAATGAGCCCAAAATATAAGACTGCTACGAATTTATGACAAACACATGATATTTTCTGGATCTAAATTAATATTCACTTGAATATCTATTTCCGATTTTCCGGTCAGCAATAACAAACATTTTTAAATATACCGAACGCGACGAAATTTTCACTAAGATTCCGCACTTTTTACCACTCATTTGAGAGACGATTTCTACTGGACGCGACGCGAACACAATTATTGGATAATAACCAAATTAACAGAAACACTTTAAATCAAAAATGTACCAACGTATTTCCGATCACTAATATCGAACGTTTTTAAAAATACCGAACCCGACCTAGATTTATTAGTGCATATTTTTAATGTGAAGGTAAATGCAGAAAGTATGGTTAATTTAAAATCATTCTATGCCCGTTCTGGCGATGGTGTATCTTTTAATTTCCTTGTTTAATTTGCATAACCGTAACACGATTTTTATCGGACCCGAATCGAGCACAATTAAGGAATAATAACTGTCTAAAGACACCAATTTTGAATAGTTTTTTTTTAATATTTAACGACGTTCACTCTGCTAATCATCTCGGACGTTGGTACGCCATCATTTACCTTATTTGGATACTATGTTGAAGAAGCACACATTTGTCCACTTCCTGTACACTTAAGCCTTTTTCTATTTGCATAATAAGAGAACGTTTTGAACCCTTTTTAATCAAATGTTTACCGACGATTTTGTGGTTTCATTTTAACGATTTTCGATTTATACTGGGGATGCATATAATATATATTGCCTTGCACTGCGATGGCGGATTCTTCCCGGAGATGGTGACTCTTTCTATTTGGCATGTGTTCTTCATTGATTTTATTGTTATCTGTTGAGGAGGTACACTTTTTTCCACTTCCTGTACACTAACGACTTTCTTCATTGGCACCCCAGAGATGCATACATAAGCAGACTTTGCTCTGGGAACTTTTAAGAAAAATAAATGAATCTGCTAATTATGATTTTGCCGGACACTAGAAATAATTGATATTTATGTATAAATCTCTGCACAAAATATTAAATTATATAACTTACCTAAAGAAAACGGATGAAATTCATTCCACCAAGTAATTTATAACGCCCATTTTCCCACTAATTTTATTACTGAAGCTTTTTCTTTCATTCTTCTTCTTCTTGTCATACATCATCTGATCACTCACAATTGCGGCACCATTTTATACACTTTTTTTGCATGAAATCACAATGAATTTAATAATATTTGACAATTTTCTAATTAATAATATATTTCTTCATTTGTTTTTCACCAAAAAATATTGTTTACTTTAAAAACTTTGATAAAAATTCACTTTGTATTTCGTTCTTTGAAGCCGCTGAAGAAAATGCGTTGAACCGTTAGAACACAACTACAACAAATCATGTTTTGTCTGGCAATGTTGTGCTCTTTTATATATTGTAATAGATTAATGGGAGATAAATTACTGCACAGGGTCACACTGTAATGGGAGGAAAAATGTTGAATTTGAATAAAACGGGATATAATTTAGCAAAGGTAATTTTGGATATAGAATAATAGGTTTTGATTGTATGTTAATATTTAATTTTAAATTGCCTATCAAGATTTACTATAATTATTATTTAAGTGTGAAATAAAATTAGAGGGACAAATTTTAAATATTGAATAGTCGTCATTCCATGGGGAAACATATGCCCCCTAATATCATGGCTAAAAATTAAGTGTGGGAGGCACCAAAACTTTACATGAACTGAAATAAAAATCTAAGGAAAAAATAGGGATTAAAGGTTAAAGAAATATCTACGTATTAGGTTGGGGAAAAAACCCATTTTTTGTGTAAATGGTTTAAAACAAATAGGGTCGATTTTTAACTCCTGGGCGATGTTACGACTGCTAACCTACCGGTCAACTTCGAGCATTTTTCTGATTTTATCGACATTTTCGAAGATCGGCCTACCTGTGTGAGGTGCATCTTTAACATCAAAAATTCCTGAACGGAATATAAGAAACCAAAATTGTACATAATTGGCTGTTACAGTATCGGAACCATAAGCACCATTCACAATTTCAGCCGCTTGGCTTGCATTTTCGCCTTTGTCAAAGAAAAACCGTAAAATGTACCGAATTATCTCTTTGTTCACTTCCATTTTTTAACACGCTGTTACTCACAACTGAAAACGAGTTAAGAAATTAAGTGGCTAAATCGACTGAGAAGCTGCGGATATAAGGAGAAGGTTTTGAGAGCAGCGTTTTCTTTCTCAGTCTATACCACCAGACAAGACATCCATAAATAAGAATGGGAAGAACAACTGCATCGTAAAGCCGTGAAGTTGTAGCTCTCCAGATTTCTCTCAATATGTCCAACTACTTTATGTAAAGCAGTGTCTACAGATTGGCCTTCGATGTAGAATCTAATAACCTTTCCAATGTTTTCAAGAGGAAATAAGAAAGTATTGTCGCCTTTACTTCTATCCATAGACTGATATGAGTGATAACCTAAGACAGGCCCTGAAAATCTCCGTCAGTGTTACTTAGCCTGATCTAAGGCATTCTGCAACATAGCAAGTATTATACCATCTGGTCCAGGAGATTTGTAGGGTAGAAAACTGTTAATCATCAATAAAAGTTTTGGATAGTTTGTTAGAACTTCTATAAAAGCTTCATTTGCCATGGACTGAGGTTGAATATGATGCAACAATTGCTCGGCCGTACTCAAGTCTCTACTCCCTAGAAGATATAAGGTTCAGAGCCTCTAAACCATAATTAGTCCAAGTACCATAATTTAGTTTAATGCTACCGATGGATTTAGGGTCATTTGATATAATTTTCTAAAATCTTGCAAGTTCTCCCTCTATGTTATTTAGACCTGATCCGAGGCAACCTGGAAAAATGCAGGTATTATAACATCTGACCCATGAGATTTGTAAGGTAGAAAACTGTTAATCGTCCATACCAGTTTTTGATAGCTTGTTAAGTCTTCTATCAAAGCTTCATTAGTCATGGGCAGCAATTGCTCGTCCGTGCCCAAGTCTATGCTCCCTTTAAAATGAGTATCCGATACAAGATTCCGAGTCTCTAAGAATTAGTCCATAATTTCTTTTAATGCTACCTATGGATTTAGGGTCTTTCGATATTATTTTCCGAAATCTTGCCTCTTCATTAACTACCCTTATCGGCCCCCTAAAACATATCCAAGACTCTCGCTTTGCTTTCTTAATCTCACTTTTGTATTTATTGAAAAATTCACTATAGGTGTACTAATCTGCAGTGGTTGGAGTACTGAGCTTCTTGGAATTTTGGTAGCATAATTTACAGATCTTTCAACACCACTGGTCGCCATTAAGTCGTTAACGTTTCCACGACAGAGGGGTCTACAATCCGAAACGACCCCAGTATTTCTCGGCCAAAGTCTGTCACCTCAGCCCATCTTTAAAAGCAATAGGACTGCTACAACAACATTAAGTCGTAAAGCTCATGAATTCCTTTTGTGTCTTTGTCATTGAATTTGTTTTATTATTCTAATATCAATGATAATGGAACCCATCGATCCATTCATACCGGTAAGTAAATTTGATCCTGATCTGGAAGGTTTCAATATTAAATAATGAAATGTCATTATTTAATATATCAACAACTTTCGCTTTAATTTATCTTTAAACCATTCCGAACATGATAACCCAACATAACCATTGAAAAACCAACAATTAAATGTTCGTCATTATAATGTTTATTTAAATAAATATTGCACTTTATTTCAAGTTTGTTTTGTGTAAAAATTAAATAAAAAATCAATTGCAAGTCTTTTTATAATTTCGTCTCATCATCTCCCACTTAAAATGCATCATCACCCACGACATCAGCAATAGTGGCCACCAGTCGTCTGGAATGTTCAACTGCACAAGTGGCTGTAACCAAACCCAAATGGACACAAAATAATTCATAACATTTAATCTTGTGTACAGGAGTTTTAGGGAAACATATTTCAGTGAGCAGTTGATAATAATCACCAGCCAGCAGGCCAGGTTCAAAATTTGGTTTGAAGGAGTTAGCTGCATTTGCGGAGGGTAAATTTAAATGGCGTTCTAAATCAATGGATTTCGAGGACCCAGTCGATTGATCTTCAAACCACAGAAAGTAAGCATAATTAAATGTTTTATCTTTCCACATAATGGAGGCATGACCCTTCTTCAAATGTTGTCGGGAAAATTCCAACATATCGAATAGTTTTTCCTTTGGTATTAACGGATTTGATGTCTTCAAATCTGGTGAGATCATTAGTCCCGATGAACGATTGATATAGATGAAGTGAATGAGCCCGGGGAAATCTTCCAAATATGCTTCAATCGTGACATTTCTTTCGGCCTTTACTGCAAGGAATTCGGAGAATTCCAATAGTTTGCCCTCCACAATGGCGGCAACTTCGGGTAGCTGTTGGAAATTAACCGATGATGAATCACAACATGTCAAGGTGAATAATTGCTTGAGATCTTCATGGAATGATGGTATGTTCGATTCTATACGCACTATCAAATCTTTTTCGTACGTCTTGAGGAATTCGTGATACATTTTCTTTAGATTTTCCCACTTCGCAGAGAATTTCTTGAAGCAACTTTCCACATCGTCTCCCTTAATTTTGGCCTTTTTAAAGGATTCTTGTGATTGGCGTACAAATGATTCCAATGATTCATAGGTGGGTTTTAATGCTTCTGCATCTCCCTGCATTTGAATGGAGACGATTTTTTGTAGAACGAAGAATGTATCATATAAACTGCTGGCTACCGACAGAGGAGCATATTCCACCAGCTGTATCAGCACCACGCCTTTGTTGAGAGAATTCAGATGGGCAATACAGGGTACACAACCGGATTGGGGATCTTGTGCCACTCCCTGTAGAAATATGGCCATTGTTTTATTTAATCCTCTAGAGTCACGCTGTAACGCTCTTATCAGTAGGGCAAGGAAAAGTAAATCGGAGGGACTTAGGGGTAATGCTGTTTTACTGGAATTTATGGCAACAAATTTCACTCCAACAAACATCAAAGTATGGCATTTCAAATGACCACCATCCTTTAGGCAATCCAATGCTCTATCCATACTACCCTTGACAGCCCTTCGCAGCTCCGCATTGATAATTAGCCGCGGTAGGGCTTCAACTTGAAGTATCAAATCGGTGTCACGTATCTCATCCTCGTAACATTCCATACATGTTGTAAACAACTCCTCCTGAACATCACTGGCAAAGAGATTTGGTCCATAGCATGCCTTGGCCAGGGCAATAACCACACCCATTCGCCGCTGCATCAATTCCAGCTTTTCCTGTGCAATACTTATAAACTGATAGCCCAGTACTTCGCCAAATACCAAATTCAAATCCTCCTCACACTGGATACTGGCATAGCAATTATCGAATTGGCAATGCATAATACGTTGGGAATTTATCAGGGGACTAAACAGCTGCACCAGAACATTTTGATCGATTTTTCTACCACAACTATCTTTGGCGAAATCCTCCGGCAACAATCCCTGTTCTATGGCCTTGTCCAAAAAGTGATGTTGTAACTTTTTATTGAATTTCTGATAGACCACATCGTTGGAATTGTTGAAAACAATCAATCCATTCATTATTGAGTTTCGTTTTTAATTATTTTGATATCGTTTTTAATTTAGAATAGCATCACACTGTTTTCTTTTTCTTAAGGAATGTTGGTAGGAATGCACAGAAGTGATAACGAACGTGTAGAGAAATTTTTGCATAGAAATTTTATTTGTTTTGATTCGGGTAGGTTGGTTGGTAGTGGGTGGGTTTTTGCTGTAATGTGGTTTGTAATAGAAGAGTGAGGGAGGGAGAAAAGACCAACATAAAAAATGTAAACAAATCATTATTGTGAATGGAATACGCATGTGATGAAACAGGTTGTATGACGTTGGAGTTAGTGGAGGATGTAACGTATGACCATATTTTAAACACAGTCAGAACCCCACTTCTTAATTTATTTTGCCCGAAGTATCACAGTCAGGGGAGTTTATTTTTAAGCCAGTTATTTAAAGAACTATCACAAACAGAAGCATGGGGGTTTAAAGTCCTATTTTAAAGGAAGGGTAAGTTTTTAATGGATTTTAAGGGAATATCACAATCAGAAGAGTAATTTTTTTAGAGGAACATCACATCGTGGATTTTTTATATTAAATTTTTAAAAAACAGTAGTGTTGGCGGTTTATTTGGGATGCAAAAACATTTTTAAAAAACTATTTTTAGAGCAACATTTTAAAGGACTACCACAGACAGTTACTAAACGCTATTTTAGAGACCCACGCTAAGAATTTTAAATTGCTATCATTCGGCGCGAAGCAAATACTCACAACAAATGGTGTTTGTTGGGCCCCAAATGGGCTTCCGGTATCCCAAGGCCTCGATATGCAATTCAACATACCCATTTTGATTTCGGTGGGTAGCACCATCGTCGATAATTACAAAAGGGTGGCTCTTAACTGTGTCAAATTCAGGAAGATGTCTTTGAAACATGAGTCTGGAGACATTCCGCTGACCATGAAGCATCAGAAGGTAGATAGGGAGTGAAAAACTAAATAATGTCGTGATGGAACCAGAAAGACAAAAACAAGGGTAGAGTTCGCTATTTCAATCTAACTTTTCCCAGAGATAATTAGGGAACTCCAGTCGTACCTAATGACAGAAATAGCGTTGCATAAACCGGTCGACCAATTCAATAGAGTAGTTCTCGTCCTGAAACAGAGGTAAAGGATATTGCATGGACGGAAATGCCATGTTAGGCTATTACTTGGTATCCTAGAAATTCCGTAATTTCCGTAATTGAGTCTCTGTCCCTTGCGATAAACCGATTGCAGTAATTAACCGCTCTCCGATAAATCTTGTCAGAGATTGTTTCCGATGATTCATCCATCTTTACGATGTTAAACTCATCGGCACCAGTAGTCTGGAGACTTCACTACAGCCCGTGGGTTTACGTCCCAGGGTTTAGGTCCCTACATCTCAACATCTGAGAGTACTCACCTTGATTTGAAGGAGTCACCGGGATAGCTATTTTAGTAGTCGCTGTAGTACTAATCACCGTATTATCCATGACGTCTTCCTCGTCTGTCAATGGTGAGTTGTCCCAGAGTTGATTCGTGATTCTCTCTAGATTAAGGCAGAAGGAGCAAGTTTCCTCTATAAGATTGAGGAGAAGGTCCGTTAGCATTCAGCTCTGCTACCCCTAGGCGAGTATATATTAAGTTATCCCTTGCAGTATAACCCTTTCGTATCCTTTTGTGAGTACTTTGTACAGAATCTTGCCCAAGAATTACTTCGTATCCTTACATGATTACTTAGTAAGGTCTTAATGTAGGTAAGAGCATCCATATCCTAGTCATCGCTAGAGTATCAAGATTTCTACTCCTATTCATCCTCTTGTATTCCCCGCCTAGATGTCTTATCAAGGTTTCTAGTCAAAATAAATCAGTTATCTGTCCAGCGAAGATTACTTATCCCCGTCTCGACTTAGAAAAACGATTGAGCTTAGAATGAAACTCAAACTGACGACTACCGGTAGGTCCCAGCTTTAAGATTATCTGTGTTATAGAAAAATGTGTCGTTCCAATCCTTAGGATTCCTACAAGGCTTCTCTTTTACTCCGATATTGGTAGTCCGCCAAATTCTAGTCTAGAAACACTTTTCAGATACTTTTCTATTTAAACTTTTTGAGAGTTATGTCTGTCCTCAAGTCTTAAGTGGGAAACACATAAGAGGACTTAAGGATTGGCATGTTATGTTGGCGTCTTTTATTGTAAAAGAACAAAATCACGTTTGATTCTAATATTCCTTTATAAATTGATATTTCATACCAAGATATATTATTATTATTAATAAGAAGCCTGAATCCGTATGTGTTCCACCTTTAATCCAATTAAAAGAAATATCAAACTTTGCTCCCCATCATGTTCAACAGCTCCCCATTTTGCTGAGCTTTGTCGGTGAGCCGTCATCTTCCCAAGACAGATACACGGAGGATACAACATACTAATTTTCTTGTCCTGAGTTCTGAGTTAAATACTTGTATTACCCCTTCTAATATGTGATATTAATTATTGTGATTGATTTGCAGTGGAGTGTCTATTGTGAATTATTTAAGTAAACAAACAGAATTTTATACAAAACAATTGAATATTTATAACTCTTTAATCAATTAATCCCCAAAAGATGGATGACCATGATGATTCCTTCGACTTGGCTCTGGCCACAATGGAAATACCAGTACCGGCAAAAATTCCTCGAAAGGAACCAACACCACCTGCAAGGAAACCCACAATTCCACCAAAGCAAAACAACCCGCCAGCAGCTACCACCACAGCAGTACAAAATAACAAACCTGATGAAATTCCTAAAACTGCTGCAAAAATCACTGCCTCAAATCCCCACTGCATCCTGGTACATACGAAGCAGAGAGGAAATCCCATATTAAAATCTATACTAAATTGTCCCTTAGAATATCGTGATGATATTATACCAGATTATGTTGTGGGCAGGACAACTTGTGTGCTGTATTTATCGTTGAAATATCATCAGTTGAATCCAGATTATATATGTCAGCGGCTAAAGGAGTTGGGTAAACTATTTGAATTACGTGTCCTGTTGGTGCAGGTTGATATACCCGAACCACATGGAGCTCTCAAAACACTTACACGTATTAGTCTTTTGGCGGATTTAACATTGATGTTGGCATGGAATTCCGAGGAGGCGGGGAAAATTATTGAAACTTACAAACTTTTTGAGAAAAGGCCACCGGATTGGATCATGGAACGTGTGGATGCGAATCCACATCAAAAGGTAGTTATATATTTCTGCAGACCTATGTTATGGAAATTTGTTAAACCTATTCTTTTATAGCTTGTCTCTGCCCTAACGAACATAAAACCTGTCAACAAAACCGATGCCACCACGTTATTGCAAAATTTCGGTAGTTTGGAAAAAATCGTAAATGCCAGTGAAGAACGTTTGTCACAGGTTACGGGTCTGGGACCACGTAAAGCCAAGAAATTGTACAAAACCCTACAGGAACCTTTCCTAACAAAATAATTAAATATTTTTTTTTATTTTCTAATTTATTGTATGAAAATAAATCTCTTTGTTAACACTTTATTATTCCACAAACTTCCAAATTTTAATGGTACCATCATCACTACATGACACAAGTTGATGTTGTACAACCGGATTCCATGTGACCTTATTGACATCTTGCATATGGGCCTTATCTTGAGCTGTGGCCAGAACAAACACCGGTTCATTTTTCGTTGATGTCTCCTCGTCCTCTTTGAATATTCTAATGGCATCATCACCACAAGCTGTGGCAATAAGTCCCGTCAATTTACACCATGATACATCGTAAATAGTACGAGAATGCTCTCCGGCCACGGTGCAGACACATTTCCAAACGGTTTCATTATCCGGCGTGGCAATACCTTCAGGATTACCAGGAGCATAGGCACGCCATATTTTCATATTACAATCATCACTAACTGAAACAAGGCGATCTCCCTCAGCATCAAAATCAATAGCCCAAACAGTGCTGGAATGTCCACCCAGTGTGGCCGTGCATTCCCAATCATTATCCAGGGCATTTTCGGCATACATTTTAATGCTGTTATCATAGGAACATGAAGCCAAGACCTCCTTCGTGGGATGCCATATAACGCGCTTAACATCCTGAGTATGGGCATTTAAAACAGCGGCACATTCAAAATCATCATCGCCAGTGACTTCCCAAATCCAAACGGATTTATCGCGAGAGCATGTGGCCAACAATGAGCCGGAGCTGGACCAGCTACAACTTTTCACCTCGTTTTCGTGGCCCTCCAATGTGGCATTGCATTCAAATTCACCTGGAAAGGAAAAGGGCATTAAATGAGGAAAACATATCCATATGTAATTGAAAGGAAGCTTAACGCCGGATCGATGTAAACTTACTACAGTCAAAATCGCTTATAACAACGGTCAAGGGACCGTCGAAAGTGGGCGCTATAAGGGCTAACAAATATGGGCCGAAATTTTTACCTGGGCTTTTGGTTACCACCGTTATAACCGATATATCGTCTTTATAAACGACTTGACTGTATTTTGAGTATTAGATCGATTGAAATGTGCAACCCAAACTTCTGTCAAAATTAAAAATTTTGAAACTTACCTGACGCCTTCGACCAAATGGCTGTGGTGCCATCAAAACTTGCCGATGCCAAATATTGTCCACACTTTGACCATGCCACACTGCGTATTGTCCGTTTGTGTCCATCCGAGAGTATTGTTTTTGTTGTCCAAGTATTACCCGACAGTGACCAAATCCTTATGGTTTTATCCTCACCACACGAGGCAAATGCATTACCCTTTGGATGCCATGATACACACCAAATACGTCCCTTGTGTCCTTGGAGTGTGTGTTCGCATTGTAATTTACTCATGTTTTCCGACGGATAGTGTCTGTGTGTTTTTTCCGTATCAATTAATTCGTCCGATATTGTCTTTTCAATGAACTGTTGGTGTTTTTTTCTTCCGTTCTAATCTGACAGCTGATAAGGTAAATCATTCACAATAGAGTTCATGAAATGGCGTTGCCAGATAATTTGTAATGATTTCTCTACACAATGAATGCGGGATTTTTGATTGTAAATAAAAGTACTAATTTCTATTTAACAATTTGATGCTGAAAATTTGCCTTAAAGGTCGAGAAAATTAGGCCAGCTTAGTGGAAAATTCAAAGAGAAGAAAAATAAAAATATAGAATGCTATATCAGAAGGAGGCTGTGGCAAGGAAGAAGTTAGTGACGGCCATATCTTTTGGGGGCTTCATTTCTGAGTGCATAAGCTACAGAACAAAGGTGTAAGGGGTCCTATTCCGGAGAAGACGAGTCGGCAACGAGGGAAAACATAAAAGCTCTACTAGCAAATATCGAGATGTGGGTAGATGAGAGTTGCACCAGATAAAATGACAGACGATTCGGTGGATGGGGCTATTGGAGAATAAATCCAAAATGGAAGGATGGTTTAAGCAAGCCTAAGATCAAATTGGCTGTCTTCAATTGGCATTGAAGGAGGAGCGACGAAAGCTTAGAATATTGAATATTGTAATCGATATGCGGAGCAAGTCTAGTTTAGGGGCTCCACTCGGATCGCTTTGAAATTTTTACCGTAAGTAGTCCTCGTTGAGCTGATTACAGTGATATATATTTTATGTGGGGGAAATGCATACTTCCCGAGATATGGGCCTTGAAAGTTCGGAGCATATCTTGATTAAAACTGCCGTTTTAGTAATGCCACAAAGGCAATATGGGTATCATTTTAAAGCTTACAACGAATGCGCATACATGGCTACGCAATCCAAATCCTTTTTTAAGAGCAATTTTCAAATCAAATTTAAGGTTATTTAAGTAGCCGGCCTTCGGCCGGGGCTTAAGACTTTCACCTATGGACAGGCGCATACATGGCTACGCAATCCAAATCCTTTTTTAAGAGCAATTTCCAAATCAAATTTAGGTTTTTTTTTAAGTAGCCGGCCTTCGGCCGGGGCTTAAGACTTTCACCTATGGACAGGCGCATACATGGCTACGCAATCCAAATCCTTTTTAAGAGCAATTTTCAAATCAAATTTAAGGTTTTTTATGTAGCCGGCCTTCGGCCGGGCTTAAGACTTTCACCTATGGACAGGCGCATACATGGCTACGCAATCCAAATCCTTTTTTAAGAGCAATTTTCAAATCAAATTCAAGGTTTTTTAAGTAGCCGGCCTTCGGCCGGGGCTTAAGGCTTTCATCTATGGACAGGCGCATACATGGCTACGCAATCCAAATGTTTTTTCTTTCAATTTTAGTTAATATTATATAATTTACAATGATATACTATATTTATTTTTAAAGCACTATTCAAACCCTTTAAAATGATACCCATATTGCTTTGGTGGCATTAGTAAAACGGCCGTTTTAACCAAGGTATATTCCAAACATTCAAGTCCCATATCTCGGGAAGTATGCATTTCCCCCACATAAAATATATATCACTGTAATCAGCACAACGAGGACTACTTACGGCAAAAATTTCAAAGCGATCCGGGTGGAGCCCCTAAACTGGACTTAAGCCCGATATGCTATACAAAGTCTATAATGAAGAATTGGAGGAAAAGAAAAAAATTACGTTGCGGAGGTACGTGCAAGAAATAGGAAGCTAAAAGTTGCTCTAAAAACAACGGACGACGCCATTGGTTGCCTTGAAGAAAAGTTGCAGTCGTTGCAGGTAAATGATAAAGAGTTTTGACGGTAGCAAGATGAAGTCGCGTATAGTGACGACGGCCGGTAAGCGACGGATGTTCTGGACATGAAGTTCGAGCCTGTGGACAAATGACGACCAACCAAAGGAAGATTTTGTTGCCAATAAAAATACCAACGGAGATCAGCAGACAAAATAATTAAGTTTGCCTAATAAATTTAAGTACATTAAGAGAATTGCCGATCGTCCAGTCTTGAATTTGGAGGGAAAGGGCAAATATTTGGAGAAGCCAATATAATTGCCAATGATTCAGCCTGGAAGCACAACGAATAGAAAAGTGATTTCACTTCGTGGAGAATATTAGTGTCATCATATAGATTCCCGTCTTATAATTTCCAGGAATTAGGTTTCCTCCTTACTTATATTACTATTGATAGCATAAACGTGAGCCTGGTAACACAAAAGATACTTATCCTCGATTAAATTGAGGAAACCGGCTCCACACACCGAGATAGGGATTCGGTTATAGTCAAGAAATTCCTTCAGAACAAATTTATTCGAAAGTTCTCACTAAACTGTCTAACTGATATTGCCATTTGGATCAAAAAAAATTCCGACATCGCGTGTGGAGTAGACACGATTCGGAAAACGATTCCAGAGACTTGGTATAAATAGGAACCTTCGAAAAAACACACTGAGTTTGGTTGAAAAGCAGAACGGCGGTCTTCAACTCATTCGAAAAAACTGCGGTTTACATACACTGCTGGAGAGACCTATCATTTTCTCGATCTATCCGACACTCCATTCATGAACATTGCTAGGTAAAGTCATTGGGGTCAAGAACTGGAGGGTATCGGAAAATGCTCCTTTTCAAATTCAGATTCCTACTTTTAGGATAAAACAGAAGACTTATAGGAACCTCGGAAGACAAACTGGAATAAGTGCAATGATAAAGGAACTTTTCTAAGATACTATAAATCTTTGTAGTCTTGAAGAAAGCTGTTCGAAAATCATAGAAGATATCCACTAATTGGGACGTTTGTAGGAAACAATTCAATAAGTAATCAAGAAGGATAAACCCGGCCAGATTTCGTAAAGTAATATAGATGGATCTCAAATCTATATTGATGATATGGGGGCTAAATACCACACAGAGAGACTCTCGATCTTTTATCGCCAACGTCCCGTCTGTAAGGATTTCGATAACGGTGTACAACAAGCTCATCAACAGAGGAAGAGGAAATGCTAATAAAAGGTCTGACAAATATTCAACATTTTTATGAGTAATAAACCGTTTTCGATCCTACTAAACTCCAAGGCCAGATGACATAATTTCATGAGAAGAATATGAACAATTCCAGTTTCATTTTGGCTGCGTTACTCGATATTGAAATATGTGACTCCTCAACTCTTACAGAATGGATTGATGAAATGCTAAAAATCCAAACCATCAGAATCAATTGGAGAGGGTTCCATGCGGAAATATGTTAACATAGAGGCGCCGCATCTGGGGGTACTCTCCTCACTGCTTTGGTTCCTGGCGATTTTTTTTAAATATTTTTCAATGGATTATTTGAAAATTTTGTTAAAGTCAATTATTGGAAGTACTACTTATAATCGAAAGTCAATACCTTTAACAAAACAAATAATATGTATCATTAAATATTCTTGTCGAATATGTTATTAGGTCACAAAAGTGTCATCCATCTACATATCTATGTACTCTTGTAAATGTATTCAATTTATAAATAATTCACTTTTTTTTTGTCTAATTCACAACTATGTACCTCAATTTGGATATCGTGATTTTGTGGAATATGTTATGT